TTGAGACGAGACAAGGACGCCAGCCCAACGAAAATAATCCCGTTCGTGGTCAACCCTGTTCTATCCAGCAGTCGGACCGACAAGGCAAAAATTTGACCAGGGTAAGAACTTCGGTTGTGTCCGAAAATTGATAAGCCCCTCAACAATGCTGACACCATTTCACCGATCAGCCCGTACGGAGACATACATTATCAAGAGTGGCATACCTCTTCGAAGGCTTTGCGGAGGTTGGACTCCGACTCTCCCGCCATCTTGGACATGATCTCCGGCCCGTTGATGAGGAAAAAGAAGGCGCCTGCTCCGCCACCATTCCGTACCACAACGTCGCCAACGGCAACGCCACAAGAGGAGAAAGTAACGGGGGTCAGCGACGCAAAGCAGAGGAAAACTCGGCGTATGTAGTAAAGCAGAAGGACAAACCCGAAAAAGAGGGATCTGACGGCATCTAAGTGTCCCCCAGAGCTAACCCGAGGATGGGCGGGGGGTGCGTTGAACATGAACACCCCAGTAGCAATGAAGGCAAACACTTGAGCACGGTCATGCATGCATGCGCCCGCGAATTGCTCCAAACAAAGCCGAACACCGCAGGGGAGCCAGTAGGGTGGGTTCCTCCCGCCGTAAAGCAGGGTCGGACAAACGAACAAGGACACCCCTTTGGACGTGAGTCGGACTTTGCGCAATGCGGCGGGCATGCAACGTTGGGAGAACTCGGGGGTGTACTAACCCACCAGAACACATGTGCGACGAATTACAACGTGCCGTTCCCGTAAAAGCATACACCCAGCGTATTCTACGGGACCGACATATTTGCGGGTGCACATGAGAGTCACACGCAAACGCAAAAGGCAAGGTGTCGTTTCTGCTGACCTGTCTCGTTGGCGACAGCCTTGGCGATGAGCGTCTTTCCCGATCCAGGGGGACCGTAGAGGAGAACACCACGGGGGGGCTTGACGCCAAGGTTCTTGAAGAGCGTGGGGTGGCGAAGCGGGAGCTCGATCATTTCACGGATCTGAGCGAGAGAGGCGGAAAGAGAGCGGGGGGGAGAAGAGAGACAGTGCGAGGCAACAATTGCGTGAGAAAAATGGAAAGCCGCAACGTCTATTCTTCGGGACACGACGTCGGGATTTCCAACCTCGATCCACAAATGACGAAGTACCAACCGGGCCACAGCGAAAAGACAAAACATATCGGAACGTGTGCGGGCGCCTACACAACATAAACAAGTGCCGCCGCATCCAATTACAAGCGTCGAAACACACACATCCACCTGTGGTCCACCCTCAAAAACGCACCTGGGCCATCTGCCTGCGGCAGCCCCCGATGTCGTCGTATCCCACGTCGTCCATCCTCTCCTCATCCTCGCGCTTGATGGGCTCCCCCTCGCAGTGGATGACCGTGTCGGGCGCCACGATGCAGTACGGGGCAGGGTCGCACTCCACCACCTTGAACTCTACCGGGTGCATCGCCTGAACGAACAGAACGGAAGGAAGGAAGGTGTGGATTAAAAAGAGGATCGTCAACACGTACGCAAAAACAACAAGGAGAGCAATTTGGCACACGCATTCCCGTTGTACAATCAGATTGCCCAGCCAAGGGGAGCTGTTTGAATTGTTCACTGGAAGGTAGTACATGAAATTGAAAGGAAACAACGACGAATTGAGGTTTCGAGCCCTAGGGTTCACAGTACGTTGCCAACGTGAACAAGACAGCCATAAAAACGCGAAAGAGACAACTGGGACTTAATCTCCGGCCCATACATGTGCCCAAGAACGGGCAATTACCCAAAATTCAAAACCTCGATTGCCAAACAGACGTTCCGTCTTGCACGTCATCGCAGCAACACGGAAGCTATGCCGGAGGACGACTTGGCCCAATACCCACAAAACGAACACTCAGTACAACCAGACGGGAAGGCACACAGATACAAAAAGACAGTCACGCAGGGAGACGGATTGTAGAAAGACAGACAGACGAATGATAGATTCATGACAGACAGACCTGTCGCACGAGGAAGAGGTCTCCCTTCTTAACGGGACGGTAGGCCTCCAGGAAGTACGGCTTCAGGTACACGTCGAACAGGTTTCCGGTAACACTATTTACCCATGATGACGATGAAGACGGCGGAACAAAAATCGGCAGCACGCACCCACCAAAAAGGAGGGGTAGAAGAGGGGGACAGAGCGCGCGACAAGAGAGTGTGCATGCGCGGTAAAGAGTTAGTTGGGCACGGCGACCTGCGTCCGTCTTTGCCGGCTGCTAAATTGAGCACCGGTAACCCTCCTGGACGACAAGAGAGCGAGAGCGAGCGTAACGTAGTCCGAACGCGAGAAACATTAACATTGCCGCGAACCGACTCAAACACGCCACAGAGAAACAAAAAACACCCGAGAAACCCGACAGTTCGGCGGGAGACGGGCATGGCAGAGGGGAGGGGGGGGGGCACGTGCCCACGCGATGCCAGCTAGAACCAGAGCCAGCCACGACGACAACACTCCAGATTTCCTTTGTTTAAAGAAAAAACGACGACGCTTGAAGGACCGCACCGGTCAAGTGGCACACTACCGAAAACTCTAGCCCGCCGTCTGGGGGGACCCCAAGACTCCCACCACTCAAACGCCAGGGGCGATGAGATCCATATCGTCCGATGAACTTACCCCTCGATGGTGTCATCAACGGGAAGCACGTGCACGCGCTTGCCGTAGGGCACGTCTCCGCAGGCTGAGACCGTGATCAGGTCGCCCAGCCGCACGCGCAGATTCTTCCGCACAACCTGCGAGTGTGTATTTCCCCCGACAACGGCACCGGAAAGAATGTGATTTAACTCCCCGACACACGAACAAAGACAAAACCAAGACCTGTTACGTTGTCCGAGGGATCCAAGACAACATTTTGGACATCAAATGCAAAGCAGGCTTTCATGTTCTCGGACAACCCACCGAAGCTCGCCGCGCGATCGCCTATCTCGCATCGGTATGCATGTTGCTTCGTTTTCGAGACAAGAAGATCATACAGCAGACGGCGATAGATTAGCACCCGGGGCATTGGTCTCGCTCACCTTGTTCATGCGGATGCTCGAGTCGTCTACGGAGTCGTCGGCCAGCACGATGCAGACCGTGTCCCTGCTCTTCTTCCCCTTGATCAGGACCGTGTCCCCCCGGAAAAGCTGCAGCTCTTCCATCTGCGCCATATACACACGCAACACAAAAAACACGGGAGACGAAGCCAGCGCGAGTACCCGGGCGGGATTGGTCAGAAAACACGAACGCGATCAAGGCATTCACTCCGATCGCAGCGGTACCTTCGACGTCAAGGGGGGAGAACCGAACGGCCCGAAAGCAACAAATAACAACTTCGCGAAACACGGGCAAGTCTCGGATTGAGTTTCTCTTCGGTTGTTGCAACAAACAACCGACTCTTGAAACGCCAAAATGCCATTGCAACTCCTGAGGCCTGTTATTCAGGCAGAGGGGTAGTAGGCAGAGCAGGCGGCCTGGACCACGTTTGACCCCAAGACCACTCCACTCAACCGCTGCGCTTCCGCCTCCTCAGTGCTCTTGTGGTGTTTTTGCTGACTCGTTGCTTCCGTCCATCAAGATCAAGATCGAGGTAGGTCGCCGGTTGCCGTTGCCCCTCTTCCACACAACGCTATTCTAGGTACTACTGTACCCTAACACACGATCGACTACTCCCCCTTCCCTCCCGAGCAGTTCTCAAACAACTCGCGCGTCAAGTGAGGGCAGCGAGAGCGACAGCTTTTCACGAACTTTAAATCACGCCCTCCACAACAATAAACCCTGCTGTTTCTGCTGTTGCTGCCCGAACGTGGAATGTACCCATCCATCCATCCGTACCTTCGCCGTGGAGAGCGCCACGACCGAGTTGTCATCCGAGGTTGCCTCGTCCACCACCATCCGGTTGGGCGACCGCTTCCTGCTCGGGTCCAGGATGGCCGTGGCCGAATCCTTCTTTCTGCAAGTTCGTTTTTCGAGTTTGGGGAGGAGGGGTGCATGTTTGTGTGATGACACTTCGAAGAGGGTTGATGTGCGGTATTTTCAGTTTGTGAAGCGGAGGGAGAGGGAAAGAGGGGTGGGGTATCACACGGTGGAAGTCGCGCATGTACAAAAGACAAACTCTCTCTTTTAGGGAACGCCGTGGAAATCGTCTTCGGGGGCTTTTGATCAAACACGGGGTGTGTGTGGGGGGGTGATCGTAGCGCGGGAGGAACCTGCTTAGCACGCAGCTGTTGTGTGTACAACCCTGTTTCGCGTCCTGCTGCACAGCCAGCACAACAAGACAGATGACCGGCTAAGGAGCAAGACACCTGGGACAGCTCTTCCCCAAACAAACACACACACACACACACAGAAAGAGAGTGCGTTCAGTCTTGGCGCCGAGTACTGCGCACACCTGCTGTGTGCCGTGGAGGGCGAACCTGTGCTGAGGGTCGGTCGCCTACAGAGTAATCAGGGACTGGGGACAATAGCGGGTGAAGCTCCGCAGAGAAACTCGATGTTGGTGTGTGCGAGATAATGATCGCTTGCAGTACGATCGTGTCTCTCCTCGGCACTGGGATCACAATCGAGCTGATATTCAAAAGCGCCCGCATACATGGGACGTACAAAAACGCCGAGTGCAGGCAGAGTACAACTCAAACCGCGGAGAGAGTGCAAAAATCTGGCGTGGCTGCTTGCAACAACCAAAAAGTGTCAACTGCGCGGGCGGCTCGGTTCGTGGTCGGTGAATTTGCCCGGAAAAATGTCATGCCATGATGTAAAGGGAGGGACAGCGGGTGTTGCGCAGTGCTCGAAGCTAAGCCGGCCAGATAGCAATCGCCATGACGTGACTATTTACTGCTGCCACACGAAACATACTTGCTGTTTGAAACAAGCTCGCGTGTTGTGAGCGGAACTCGGTGGTTCTTTCCCAAGAAACCGGAAAAAGCGTGAGTGAGGCGAAAGCAGCAGAAGCAGCAGATACCCGAGCAAATCTGTGCGCGAGACTTGGAGTAAATCCTTCACGAGCCTCCGCGCCCGATATCTGTTGCGCAACCATGCGAGCATCACCGGGGCAGAGCAGAGCATAGCCGGCGCAGCTTCTCCACGTGGCCAGGGCAAGAGAAGGGGGGCAAAAAACACTCGGCAATATGGCCGCTAGGCCGGGTACCCAGCCCAAGAGCGCAAAGGCGGGCTAAATCGAGAACGAGAGGGGGGCATCATCCCTTGGGACTTGCACGCACACGTATACCTTGCTGGCCAGCCACTCTCGACAACGGTCTCGAACTGGTCTCTGTCTCGGTGACATGGCCACCGCGGGGCTAGCTTTCTAGAACTGGCGCCCGCACACGGTAACACAGGAAATGGGACATCAAACCCAGCACAACCCCATCAGCAGACAGCAGAGCCTCACGGCAACAACCTGGCCATTGCTCACCCTCCATCGTCTCCCATGATTCCTTCTGCTGTAGTATTCTTGTGCTGCACTCCCTGTCCTTTAGCGTCGCTTTGATCCCTGCAAGTGTTGAGCCTGGTGTGCGTGTTTGACGGTGGGTGAGGGATGGGCTATGTCCGGTGCACTCTCCTCAGGTTTGGCGAATTCTGTAGAGCGGAATGCGAACTCTCTAAAAGCAAGTCAAACAAAACAGCCCCCCTTCCGACCGTTTTCCAATGGCTCGAACTCCCATTTTGTAACGCCAAATTTTTTTTCGAAAGAAGACCGTCGACAATGAAATGGCCACGCTGGCGATTTTGCAATCCGTCCGTTGTTACGATGCTTGCGTATCCTGTCCACGACCTATATTAGCACGCCTGATGTAGCAGTACGGACAATGATACCCAGAAGCGCAAGGGAAAGCGCGCGCACTTTGCCAAGGAGGTGGATAGAGGAGGAGTGGGGCATCCCGTTCGACAACAGCAGCACTTCTGCTCTTGCCGCTCATGGTAAACACCCCGTCGGCACGTGGTGTGTGCGTGTGCGTACGATATACGACCATATGCTTCGTTTGAAAGATCTTCGTTCTCTCATCAATCGAAGCACACAGTTTTTCCGTCTCAATCAAGATTTATCCCGTATATGTTGTTTGTACAACAGTATGCTCTCGAGCTGTACTGCTGTTCCGTTGCCTTCTGGAGGGACTTTAGTCTACTGCTGTTGAAGTACAGTCCCGGTTGGTAAATGCGCATCAGCGTGTAGCTAAAACGAATCGGGTTTCTCCCATTTCGAAAGGTATGCATAGTTTGTATAGATCTATCGTACAAGAGTAAATGTAGTCTACCCAACGTCAACATCATGTGCACTACATTGGCTGTAGAAGAGTGCCTTATTTCAGCATACCTTTACCCGTTTTGTGAACACACGCGCACCTGTTTATTGAACAGTCGGTTGGTGATCTTAGGATACGTGCAGCTTCCAGTCCGCCTACGTATCGAGAGTCGAGCTCTTGGACGTGCTCACGGTTTTGTGTTTCAATGTCAGATATATGTAAACGACGTCTGTACAGCACCCACGAAAGACTCCCATCCATTACAACCGCAATGTGACCGCCCACCAAACCTACTACGCGGAGCCGACTCACCCTATATGCAAAACGGCGCAAACTGCAGATGGCCATCCTCGGAAGCTCAGGCAACGGAGCGCTCCCTCGTCAAGGCGGAAGGTGAGGCCCGGTGCGGCTGGTCGTGCGATCGACCGGCTTTGACTTTGGCGGGAAAATTGTCCACCGAATATTTGGGAACAGGTCCACCATCATCGTGGTCGTTGCCTTCTCTCGTGTTTGAATCCGTGCGATGATTGCCAACAGAAGGATTGCATTTTTCTTTCGTCAACAAGAAGCATACTATGTAAGACAAGGTACATATTATGGACCAACAAGGAAAAAGCTATTGGTGACATACGTATCACAACTCGCGCGTGCGCGTATCACCGTGTACCACTGACGTTTCCGTCCTTGCCCCGCGCAGCATGCGCTCTGCGCGCGTCGCTTGCCAGATACCACGCCCCACTACCTTCACTTTCCGTCACCTGTTGCGTTATTCAACCACCACACCAGAAGGACAACGTTGGTCTCGTCTATCACGCAGACACTGTGCGTAGAGTGTCCCCCGGGCAGCAGCAGCAGCATCAAGGTCCGCTTCGCCGACGGCCATTGAGCGGGAAAATCACCGAGCGCGATGCCAGCGATGACTATGGAGGTATTCTAGATGTGAGTTGGAGAACTTGCGGGAAGGGAAAGGGGGGGGGGGGGG